CATAAAGTCCTCGCAAAATGAGGGCGAAATCTCTGGGTAGTGTCTTATCTACAAACCCATCTGCCTTCCAAAATTTACCTCGGAACTTGCTCAGTTAAAACTCCCTCGCCGAAAAAGAAGAGCGAGCGGAGGCCGGGGCTGAATTTTCGGAGCCCACATGGATGTGTTTTAATTTGAAAAGCATTTGGATTTAATTTCAAATGTATTTAAATTTCAAATCCTTTAACTAATTTAGTTATCGTATTTTAGGAAAGTATTCAAATCAAACATATTTCAAATTCAAATAGGATTTGATTTAAATATTCCTCCCTAATTTAAGGTTCCCCACTTGGCAAGCATTTAAATCTCTCTCCATTAACTCTCAAGCCCCTCTTAATACCGTCGGCCCCTCCCTCAGTTATTTAATTCCTTAATTGGATATCCAATTATGGGATTTAATTAACCACCCCCCTTCTTCTCATTTAATTTTAATTTAATTTCAAATCCCCCCCCCCTCCCCACCCCATCCGCGCTACATCATGTAGACAAAGTATTTCTTATGTTTTTTAGCCTAAGCTCCAAACTTTTTAGCATTTTACTTGAATTTTATATATTACTGTAATCAATTTAGTTTTATTTAGAAATCGAATTATTTTATTTGTCATAATTGATGTTTCAATTTGATTGATCATTGTTAACCATCATGTATTTAATGCAATTTTATGGTATAATATTATGTGACATTGATTGTGTGTGTTATTTAATATATAAAATAACATTTGTAAAGTTCTTCTCAATATTTTATGATTTGCTTTGTTTTTAAAAATAATGTGCACCACTATGGTCTGTTTGCTATGGGCTTTGCTCTATAATCCACTATTCGCTATTTGCAACTAGGGTGCCAATAAATAAATATTCAAGTGTCATTTGCAAAGAGTAATGGTTATATTATTGCTCATGTTAAACGACTTGCGATCATATGTGATTTTCATTGCTTTCAATCGTTTATTTATTCATACTTCTTTGTTGTTTTTAATTTGACATCATGAGAAAGGGTAGAACTTATGTTATTAACTTATTATAACTACCTATTCTTTCTTTTTCTTCTTAGTATTTTATGATTTGCATTGTTTTTTAAAATTATTCTTTCCATGCTATGCGCTTTTTACTTTGGCTCTAGGAAACTTTATGCTATAATCCACTATTTGCTATTGACAAGTAAGGTGCCATTAAATAATTTAATTGTCATTTTGCAAAGATTAATGCTTTATCATTGCTCATATTAAACCAATTGCATTCATTTCTCATTTTCATTGCTTTCAATTGCTTGCTTGTTTATTCATTCTTCTTTGTTGTTTCTGATTTGATACCATGAGAAAGGGTGTAACTTCCATGATTATAATTGCCTCTCATTCTTCCCAGCTTATTATAGCTTGTAGAAAGGGAGGAACGAGCATAGAAGACCTTGCAGAGAAGTTCCCAGATATGATTATCAAGGTTATCCTAATTCTCTTGATTTATTTGGATTGATATTTTGAAGATTTCTACTATTTTTGGCCTGTGTCCTATTCTATCATGTGCCTTCTAAATGGCATTTATTTTCTTGTAAAGGTTCCTATTGATGTTTTCAAAGGAATCACAGATGAGGATGCTGCTAAAGTTGTCGATGGTCTTGCACCAAAGGTGGCTGATAGGAATGCTTCAATTGAACAAGTGAAGAAGCTTTATGAACTATTCTGCAAGTCTGATTGCACCCTACTGGAGGTTATTTTCCTACATAAATTATATAATTTATTAATGAAGGAATAAATGTCATCAATATATTTGTTTGGCCTATATTAAGAGAGGTAGATAAAGAAGTAAAAACATTTGGTCATAAAGTCTCAGAAATGATATTTTTCTATTAGATTTAAATAAGAATTTGACTCTTAATAGGACCATTTTGAAAAATGATTTATATAGTCGACCCACCCCATGTAATAAGATAAAGGCTTGCTGTTGAACATATTTATTCTTAACATTCTTATTTATTTGACCTATGCATTAATTCAATGCTTTTCTTTGATTAGATCAACCCAATTGCTGAGACATCTGATAACCAGCTAGTGGCTGCTGATGCTAAGTTGAACTTTGATGATAATGCTGCTTTCAGGCAGAAAGAAATTTTTGCTCTGCGTGATTCATCTCAGGAAGACCCAAGAGAGGTATGATGCATCTTGAAGGTTTTAGTTAATATTCCAGCGTGAGAAAAATAGTCCATCTTAAGATGGAACTTCTTAGCATGCACTTAGCTTCATAAATCACAAGCAACATAAATTAAAATATGATTAATTTAGATAATTTAGATTGAAAGACAAGTAAATGAAGGATTCAATTTCTCAGTCCACCCCCCTTTTTAGTAGGTGCTTATTGTTTTTTATTAAATTTTTTTTTTTTTTCTGTTCTGTTGTATTTGCGACAGCCTACTAATTTCTTCTTTTTTTTGTGTGTTTGTACTGCAGGTTGCTGCTGCCAAAGCTGATCTAAACTACATTGGACTGGATGGAGAAATTGGATGCATGGTTAATGGTGCAGGATTGGCAATGGCTACCATGGACATAATAAAACTGCATGGTGGTACACCTGCCAATTTTCTAGATGTTGGTGGGAATGCTTCAGAAGGCCAGGTGTAGAGTTTTCTCCTATCACCAAGTGTCTATTTCTTCAGGTTTATAACTGGATTATAAATAGTTAGCCTTTTGCCAATATGCACGAGTGTGCGTAAATATTTAAACATAAAGGTAATTATGAATTTATAGTGGTCTCTGCCACTTAAAACAATAGCAGTTATTAGCTTCATTTGGTTGGTCTTCTACTTTGCATGAAGAAAGATGCAAAGCTGCCGTCAAAAACTGTTTTATGAATCAGTTTGAAAACACTATTAAAAAACCATCTGCTTTATGACAGCTTATTGTTATTACAAAACAGGTGAAAAGCCCAACCATATCTGCATTTAGTTTACTATTCAACACAATGTAATTTCCCAGTCTTGTGTGAGTTTTTTATCAAATGCTGTGTGGCCTTTTAATTAATATTTTTTAAGGCAGACTAGGTAGATTCTTTCACATTAAAGTTGATAATATCAACTAAATTCATCTTTTGTATGTATAGGTAAATATGTTACGTTACTCTCCTTCATCAAATCCCGCAGGTCTAATGTAAAACTATTTTTCATTACTAAAATGCATCCTAGGAATATTTTAATAAATAATTTGAGCGTATATCATATTATTATGAGTCAATCAATATTATTATAATATAAAATGATATCTAGGTGTGATAAGTTCAAATATTTTGGCTCTAATATGAAGAGCGAGTATATTGTGAAGGTTGGGTGAAGAAGAAATCTGAAATTAAGTTCAGATTTTGAGAAGTTTGGGAGGGAAACTAATTTGAAATGTTGGTTTCAAATTAGTCATAATCAAGGCATTGATTGGGTATTAATTGGGAGGAGCCAAACATGGGCCGGTGGTATAGGAGAGAGAGGGAGGGGAATTTATTCCAAAGCCTGAAATTAAATTCAGGATTTGAGGGGATTTGGGGTGAAAATTAATTTGAAATTTGATTTCAAATTAATTTGTAATGAATGCATTGATGGGAGACTTAATTGGGGGAATCCATGCATGGCCGACGGCATGGAGAGAGAGGGAAGAGGGATTGGGGGGATTCAGGCTTTTTCCATACAAGATACGCCAACTAGGCGGGAAAATAATGACTCCACCAAAATTAAAATTTCAAATGGATTCAAATTGAGAAACTTTCCTTATTTGGATTTTTGCGAATATGGAAAGTTTTGAATTTCAAATTTTGAAATTCAAATTTGTTAACTACCCATAAGGGCAAAAACGGAAAACTGAAATAAAAATGATTAATACATAAAATACATCAAAAGTAAAGACTCTCTATCATGACCATCAATCTCCTGTGTCGCCTCTGATAGACGTGTCGAAACTTCGTCGATGTCCCCATCAGATTGACTTAGGTGCTTTGGGCATATACTAAGAAAGGTAAAATATATACGCCAATATGTTGGGTGGGAAAATCTATGTTAAAAGATTGGAATTAAAGGGGTAAATTAAAGATAACGTTGATAGAAGTTGTACAAAAAATTTTGTGCAAAATATGTTTTAACATTGCATGTGTCACTTAGGCTTCGTTTTGTGACGACTTTCTTACTGTTTCTTAAAGCGGCTTTCTAGTATACAATTAATTTTTGTACTACAAAGCTGCTTTAAGAAGCAGGAAGAAAGTCGTCCCAAACAAAACCTTAATGGGTACAAACGGTGAAAATAAGCATTCACAAAACTAAACCCAAATAGTTGGGACAAGCCTAATGTTGATGACGACTTGTAATATTTTGATTTATTTGCTTTTTTTATGCCCCACGCAACTTCACGGGATGAGAACTTTCTCATGCTATTTTGATCTTCCTATTTGTTACATTGTGGAAAATTTTCTCCCCATTCCTTTTTTTTTCTTGGAGACTTAATCGGGACTTGTTGCAGGTTGTTGAAGCATTCAAAATATTAACTGCTGATGACAAAGTGAAAGCAATTTTGGTTAACATATTTGGAGGAATCATGAAATGTGATGTGATTGCAAGTGGCATTGTTAATGCTGCAAAGCAGGTTCGATGCATTTCATTGTATTTTCATTGCTTCATCCCCAGAGCCAATTATCTAATCAGCCCTCGAGTCTTGTAAACATCTTAGGGAGATGGACATTTCAAGAAAATTCATTGGTTTCTTCTCCATTCTCATTATAAAGTTCTAGTTGATGTTCATTCAGGCTATTTTGATTATAGCGCCTAGTAACCCCAGAAAGACTACTGTAGGCTTATATAATTAGGGGTGTCAATTCGGGTCAATGGGTCGGGTTCGACCCGACACTATTCGGGTCAACCTGAACCCAACCCGGTTTTAAAAACGGTTAGGTTTTCGGACCCGAACACGACCCGATTTGGGTTCGGGTCAACCCGACCCGACACAAATGACCCGGAGTTGACCCAAAATTGCTAGTTTTCGGATAAAAAATCGGGTCAATCTTCGATTTTCAGGTCAAAACGGGTAAAAAACAGGTCAATCTTGGGTTTTTGGGTCAAATACAAGTTTTTGTGTCAATTTCGGGTCATTTTTGGGTCAATTTCGGGTTGCTGGGTCATCCCGAACCGACCCGATTTTTAAAACAGGTTGATTTGTTGAACCCGAACCCGACCCGTTTCGGGTCCGCGTTGACCCGAACCCGGATTTTTCCGGGTCGGGTTTGGGTCGTGTCAAAAATTGACACCCCTACTGATTAGGCTCTGTTTGGGCTTTATTTTTCATATAACATTACTGTATTGATTACTAATTGCCATTTTTATGCATTACTAGGTTTCATTAAAGGTGCCTGTGGTGGTTCGTTTGGAAGGAACCAATGTTGATCAAGGGAAGAGAATTCTCAAGGTGACCAATTTCAGAATCTTATTAATTTCCTTCTACTTGACTATTGCGCTATCTGATTTGTTTTCTCATTCATCATGGAAAAAAAATTAAATAAATAGTCTTTGTATTGATTCAAACTGTGCAGGAAAGTGGCTTGGCTTTGATCACGGCAGAAGACTTGGATGATGCAGCGGAGAAAGCAGTGAAAGCTTCAGCAACTTAGATTCTGATTTGATTTTGTTCTGTTTGAAGTAGGCAAGAAATATGCTAATTTATCAGCAGAATTTGCTTCATTTTTTGAGGGAATTTGTTCCTGAGATAAATTTTTATAGAACTGGTTCAAGAGAAAACCATATGAAATAAAGCAGTGTTCATCTTTAAACCTGCTGAATTAAAATTCATGGAGAATTTCTCCATTAATTTGTTTTTTTAATAGTTGATATCGTCAAATATCTGTATGTTTTTATTTTTTTTTGGGTATTTTAATGTCTTCAGACGTGCTATTTAAGCTTCTAAATTGAGACAATCAAGATAGTAGTTTGTTGCCTTTCATATTTGTTTGATATACATTTTATGAATTATATCCGCATATTTTAATAGAAATTGTATTTGTATGGTTTTAAAATTATTATATTTATTTTAAGAAGAATAATTTTTTTTTTCTATGTTACATTAATTTTAAAATAAATTTAGGGGCAATTTAGTTTGTGAAGGGGTGTAAAATATTTTAAATGTAGGTGTTTGGTTTGGAGTAAACAAAATATATTGTAAAGTTTTGGTGTTTTTGTTACTCATCATCTAGTTCATTTTTTATGCATTGGAATTTCATTGCTTGCCATTGTAGGTCACCATTGCCTGTCGCCACCTCTGTCAGATCGCCGTTATCGGCCATTGCTGTTGGCAACCTCCGTCATTGACCACTCTATCTTTCTATTTTACATTGGATTCATTTTATTTTAAGCCAAATAAAAAGTAAAGAAATAATTTCATATTTATTTTATATATCCAAATTATTTAAAAATATTTCAAATGTATTTTATTACTTCTACAATGTATTTTTTTTACCAACCAGCCAACCTTGTAAATTTTTTAAATTCATTTTGATATAATATCATTAAATCCTAACATAATTATTTTTCTAAGGAATAAGTGATGGAGCAAAGATCTTGTGTCAGGGAGCAAAATAACATAATTGAATAATTATTCTATATAATCATCTGATACAAAAAAGCAAAAAAAAAAAAAGAGTTAATTCTTGATATGAAATAAAATTAATATTTTGTTATAAAAAAATTCCCTAAACATTGCAAATATAATTTAAAATTTATTAAATACTCAATGTTTTCAATTAATATAATACTAAATAAAGTTGGGTTTATGTTTATGAATAAATAAATTAAAACGAGGTAACAATTAACATTTAAGAGATCAAGTTGTATAAATATTATATATTTATATTTAATTAATGTTGAATCTTGATATGTCTATGGGCAATAAATAGATTTTGCTTGCAAGATGCAGAGAGAGAAGAGGAAAGAGGGGATTTTAAAGATAATTTCTATGCATTATACCATGATATGTACAAAAATTAATCATTGACCTTGCATTATTAAGGTTTTGGGAGCTACATAAGGTGTTATAACTGTAGCACATATATAAAAAAAACACATGATATGATCATTTATTATTTATTTATTTTTACATGATACGACCATTATAAATATATGGCTTAGACGTAGGTAGGTACACATGGATGGCTACCTTTGACATAAACATGAGATGCCTTTGGTGAGTGTTTGTGACTACTTGTATGCTGAGTAAGCGTGATCATCATATCTAAACATAAAGAGGCAAGTGCCTCTTGATCAATGGATGGGTGACTCCTTTCATCGAGCCAAGCACCCTCCTAGGTTGAGGCGTATGCTCCTCATGCGAGTACCCCATTAGCTGGTGCAAGTTCTCCTATGTTTAGGGCAAGTGCTCTTTTGCAAAGTGCACTTTTGGATGGAATAAGTGCTCCTCAAGCGGTGCTCCTCTAATTGGGGTGAGTGCTCATCAAACTAGTGCCACTTTGAATGGGGTGAATGTTGCTTCAAGATATTCCTTTAACTTTTTCAATTAGTTCACTTGGCCTCCTTAACTTGCTCAGGTTCGCACATTAAGCTATATATGTAGTTCTCCAATTTTTTTGTATTTTTAGAGAGTGACTTACAAAAGGACGAGAGAATTAAGTAAATTATTTATTATTATTACCAACCAATAAGAAATAGAAGTAGAAAATTTGTATTGTACTACTTTATTCTCCTCTTCTAGTGGTGGTGAATGTTGATAATCAAAAGCTGCACAAGAGCATCCTCCATAAGTATAAGGCACTGATGGTGGATGGTTGACACACACTGGCCACTGCTACAACTATTATTTAGCTTACACAAATACAGGGTTTTGTGCTTTAACTTATACACACTACTCAATTTTCTAATGGAAGTTTAATTTGTCTATGATGTAAATCTTGTGTTAATGCAAATGCACATGTCGTCAAGTAATATATGATGAATAAAGTGTCGATCCCACAAAGAACATACTAAAAGTATCATACATATACTTTACTACTGCCTAGTGAACTACTAAATTTATGTAGTTGAATGATTTAAAAAAAGGTGTGTAGTTTATAAGTATAGAGCTTCAAATTGTAGAAAGAAAATTTACTAATTTTAAAGAATTTTGGATCTTTGATTTCTGAATAGAACAAAATGGATCAAAGCAATAGGGCTTCTCACTTTGTTGAGCTTGTTGGAGTCTTAGTTAGGATTTTACCCAACTACAGTTCTTCTCTCTTTAAAATCTACCCTAACCACCATATGTTTATGCATGGCCAGACTACATTTTAAGTTCTCTAATTATTCTTTTATTCCTTCATTGAGGCTCTAGATCACACTTAAGTTTTAATTTATGCACAATCTATACATAAATCAATTGAAGTACTAAAAACTTAAAAATATCATGGATATATTAAAAATAAACTTACTCTAAGTAATGTATGCCTTTCAAATCATGATAAATTCATAGAATTTGTTTAGCTACACATGGAGGCAATATTATACATATCAAATATAAAAAGTATTTTATTTCACAGAATGACTAATATATGACAAATTGGCAAACACATGATAATAAGGTAAACTAAGTAAAATAAGGTTTAGAAATGACTCAGAATAGAATTAGAATCCTTTTAGCATTTCTTTACTTTTCTCCACTCTAATACAATACTCCTAATATAAAAACATAAGCTACACTCTCCCAAGACAACTCATACACTCACACACACTCACACAAAATGACTCCACAATGTGCCAACCTTTGGCACTAAGCTCTATAGCAGAATTTCAATAAGCTCTTCGCTGCAGCGCAAAAATATGTTTCGGTGCTGTGGCGCAGTGGTGCTACTTCAAATTTCATAAAATTTTTCACATTTTCCTGCAAAAAAATAATGATGATCGGACTCATAGATTTTAATACTTAAAATAAACTTTAATACATTAATATTTAGACTCAAACATAAATTTACCCTTTAACCTTCAACATCCCCTAAACATTAGATAACTTTAACAAGTTACCCATTTTAGGATCAACCCTAGCCACACGACCTTCAGCATACACTTTAGATGGTTTGTTAGGACAATCAACTCTAGTCTAGGCTAGATCACTATTTACTTTACCGTTGTGTGCCAGATTTTCTGATATTCATTGCATGTTGTGATTAAAATTTGCTTGATGTGAGTGTTTATTTACTTTTTACTGCACTCTATGAATTGATATGATGGATAATAATTTACTCTTAGGTTAAGACCAATCTATTTTCTCATTGAGTTTTTTGTAGGTGACCATGCTCATATAGGGCAATAAAAGGGGGGAAATTAATAATTATTATAAATGATACATGTGCTTCAGCTACTTAGCCCCCAAATAAATAAGAGTGTGGCTAAGTATGATTTACTTTACTACACTTATATATAAACTTCTTGGGATGTCTTTTATTTTCAAATGCTTAGGAAAACCTTATAAGAGAGTCTAGATTTTTATTTTTATATCAATGTAATATGTTTAAGAGTTAAGAGTTGTTAAAGTTAGTCTTTACGTTAGAATACAAGAATCCAAATTGGATTCTAAAGAGAAAATGACGCCCCTCAGGGCGACAATCCTTTTTTAATTTGAAAGCTAGATAATAAACTATACCACATTACAAGCTAAATAACCACTGCAATAAAATAGAACTGATGATTGTATATTATACAATCATTTAACATAAAAAACATATATATGAAGTAAGTGTGCATTTAAATATACAAGATTCAATGTATAAATTGCCACAAAAATTAAAAAAAAAAGCAAAAAGTTCTCTATTAAATACCACAAATACATTATTTTTTTTATATATAAATTCAAATCTTATAGAAACTTGCAATAAGAAAGTTGTTCTAAATGAGACATTAGGTCAATTGGTGCCCGTAAGTTTATATCTTTCTCATTCAATACAATTTTGTGGCTTTACAAAATGCTCATTGTTGCTCAATGTTGTTGTTTAGATTGTAACATATGTTAAATATGAAACCTATATCAATAATTAGATATGAACCATAAATCATTTCTAAAAATATATGTTAAACCTAGTAACTATTTAAATGTTGATTTCTTGGTCCTTTCAAGAAATCAAAACTTTCAAATTGCCTAATAACTTTCAGCATCACCATCCCAATTTTGCATGTGATAGCTAGAAGCAATATAATATCTTTCAGCATGAATTACTTGTTTGGAGATTTGTAAATATAATAAAACAATTCAAATGAATCAATTCCTTATAAGATAATGAGGAGAGATAAGCTTAAAATCTCATTCAGACTTAGTTCAAAATGTGTGCTCTAAAGCAAACATACAAAACCTACGACCAACTTTAGTTTGAATAAGGTTCAAACACGATTTCATCTAGATTCAAACACACATCAAATAAGTTTTAGACTTATAATACAAGGTTCCAACTTTGTTTCAAAAAATTTTTACACTCTATTCAAGGCTAATAGTTGAATATTAGGTTTGAGCTGAATTTGAATGAGATTTAAATAAAATAAAGTGGTGGTTTCAAGTAGGTTAAAACTTATTTGAAACAAAATTCAAATAAGGTTTGAACCTCCATTTCAAGAGTAGTTCGAACTTGGTTTCACATAGAATGGTTAAACCCTATATTTGAAATAGATGTTCCAATTAGTTTAAAGAATTAATATGAGGTCTAAACCTTCATATTTTTTACATAAGATTCTTTTATTTACTTCCTACTATTATAACTTAGAACTTATGACATTTGAATGGAGGATAATGCATTCTAATCTAAAAAAAAAACAAAAAATATATTAACACTTATCATGAAAAGAGGGTTAGTGAAATGATTGGGGTAAATGGTTGTTGGAAGGAATTACAATGACCTTTGCTATCTAAAGGTATGGGTCAATTATTCTGCGTGGACGTTGAACGTCATTCGAAGACTAACCAGAATGCGCC